TTCTGAAGATCTTTGCCCAAGGACACGCTACAGAAGTCTACCCAGGCTGGTCTGATGACAGGATTCCATCTTATGACCTTTTAGTTTCGAGTCCGGCAAGCTAAGAAATGAAAAGGAATGAGAGGAGGAAGTAAAGAGGAGACTTGGTTTCTTCGGACATTACATCAAAAACAGCACAATAAAGAAAAAATATACCAACTGATAAATCTGGTCAACCATCGATGGTAGCAGACCTGGGTATATACAGTTTATTAGGATTACTCAACATAAACAATAATAAAGAAATACGGTAGTGAGGTCATTAGGAATGTGTCAAGTGTTTTTACGCAGGAGCACTTTGCATTTCTATTCCAGCAAATATTCCAGCAAACCTTTGAGATGTCTAATTGGGTGTATGATTTACCGACATCTGTCGAAAAACATCACTTACTGACATAATTCTTGTAAAAAATAAATACTTTGGAAAGTAAAAAAATTAAGATCGAAAAGGAGGTACAACGAAAACCAGCTGGAAAATCATGTATAGCAAGAAGCATTTTTTGACGCAAGATACGTTGGATCGAGCAATTAATTAATTATTTTTGTGTAAACGGAACATTAGCACACGAAGGTCTATTTAGTGCCGAGGCAGTAGAAGTAAGGTTCAATGCCTGTAGACACACCACTGCGTCATACCTGGGCTGATTTGATAGCAAGATTAGAATCCATAACCTTCCGTTCGAGAGCCTGGCACGTTAACCATTCAGTCTTCGCAGCTTCTACCATGGGTTCAGTCAGAAGGCTTTTGGGCTAAAACTCCACCACTTGATTCTTCATTGAAATAATTCCATATTAGCACACATCACATGAAAAGCTGCTAAGTGTCTAGGCATTGTGGGTACGGTACCTTACCTACAAATACGTTACAGTAGCCATTGGATATTTGAGACCCCAATTCATTAATGGCGATTCTTTGACACTAACCACTGGGCCAATGCATTTTCTTAGCTTGCTTTGTCATTTTCCTTTGAAATCTTGCATACGGCCACCATCCATGGATAGTCTCGGTCAGTGGCAGTAAGAAATTAATTTATTTTAGTTGTGGTACACATATTGGTTTGGTTTTGTGATGTCATATGTCAACATATGATAGGCTACATATGACCAGTGTATTTAGTCAAGGAATATCCAGACCCACAGGAACCTGCTTGAAATCTTTCCCACATTTCTACAGCTGAGACTCAAACTTACGCAGAGGTAGATGTGTGTGTGTGTGTGTGTGTGTGTGTGTGTGATCTGTAAAGGCGAGCGCCTTGAATCATTCTGTCACCCAGTGTTTCTTCTGTAGACAGAAGTTGGCTTATAGTGTAAAACTTATGCTATACAATCTTGCTTTTATTATATTGGTAAAACAGTGCCTCTCTGTCGCATTTTGCACAGTTTATCAGCATCATCAGTCATGTAGTCTGGTAGACCGTTGGAGCACTGCACAAAACAGCAACCAACTTCTTCCATTCCTCTCGATTTTCCGTCTTTCTCAGTGAGTCGCGTAATATCAGGCCTATCCACTCTCGAATGTTGTCTTCTCACCTCTTTCTCGGCCTGCCTCTCTTTCCTCTTCCTTGTACAGTGCCTTGCAGGATTGTCTTGGAAAGTCCTGATGATCGTGAGACATGCCCATGCCACGGCAGTTTACGTTATCACTGTGGTCAGGAGGTATTAGTGAGGCCAAATGGCTTGTCCGGTCCTTTACCGTATTTCTTCATTGGTGACAAGGTCTTTGTAGGATTTTTCGGAAGCATCTCACATGTGTAGCCTGTATCCTTTGACTCTAAGCCAGGTGTTATGGTCCATAATTCACAGGCGTAGAGAAATATGGAGATCACAAGTAAGTACATCAGTCTTACACCAGCTATCTTCTTAAAATCCTCAGCCTATCATCTCATTCTCAAAAATTTATGTTATTTTATAGTATGAATACAGTTAAGTCTCCTCATTCAAAAGTCAAAACTGTCCGCCAGAAATTTGCCACTTTACAGAGAGAGAGAGAGAGAGAGAGAGAGAGAGAGAGAGAGAGAGAGAGAGAGAGAGAGAGAGAGAGAGAGAGAGAGAGAGAGAGAGAGAGAGAGAGAGAAGGGGGGGTATGGATAATAATTGGAAAATTGCAACGTGACAACAGAAGGACCATCCTTCGAGAAATCAAGATTTTTTATCGTGAATGCCATTACCATAAAACGCCTCATATCACAGTGCAACTTTGATATCGTCGACAAAAGACGCAACGCGAAAGTTGTCTCAAGATCTAGCCATGCACAAATGGACACGAATAGACTATTTGAAGAGCAAGTTGCTGGATGACAACTTCATTACGTTATGCTAGCAAATTTTAGGATGAGCTAGATATCGACATGTTTAACTAACAGCCACATTTACTCTCTCATTCAACCGCATTCAGACGACATATATTTGAAAATAAAGTTAGGAGCGGCAAGTAAGGAGTGAGATTAGGTGAAATTTTAAATATGCTAAAACTGATTCTAGATTCTAGGCATTAGCGATTATTAGTTAGGACATCTCTATAAAGAGCCATGGTTAACTACCCAAAAAGTTATTGTGTTGTTGTTCATTCTGCTACTGGTTTAGTTACACTGAAAGTATTTATTAAACGTTCAAGCTGATCAATGCATATATCAGTCGTTTTTCTCCCAGTGCAAAATACGTTTCTTAATTTATAAAATATTCTAAATGTCTGCAATGCATGTGTGTGTGTGTGTTTGTGGGATATGATTTTAACGTAGCTTTAACAATGTTTCAGTCATATTGCTACGATATCTGCAGTGTGACAGTTTATAGTGATGTTTAGCACTGGGGCACAATGCCGCAGACATGTGGCATGATCTTCCACCACCCAGTCACATTATACTGACACAAGGCCGACCAGTCCTAACATTAACCTCTTAATGCTGAGCACCAAGCTGTTAGTACCATTTTTATAAATCTTTGGTATGACTCAGTCTGCCGCGACCTCTCACATCCAAGGCGGAAGGCGGATGCTCTAACCACTAAGCCACCGGAACGGTCTAGGGTCTCTGTTGTTATTTCGGAGAACCCCTTTTCCGGCTAAATACAATGATTCAACATTTATATATATACATATATTCGTTTTGCGTTTGCGTTTGCGTTTTCAATATATGTAATTATTTTTGTTCATCCAAGAAGGGTTTTCATTGAAATTAGCAACATGATTGCTTGAAAATTGTCCTGTTTCATAGCATTTTATATCAAAGAAAAATAGCTTATCGTGTCTTTTAAAGATCACTGTTAAAGTGCACTTTAGATAATCTAGTGTCTTAATAGCTGGTAAGACATAGATCTAGAAACAAGTAGGAAACAAAAACGAACAAATTTACAAAGGGTTTTTTTTTTGCCGCTACCCACCCACCGACTCACACGAAACAAAACACTTTCTACACTAAATTGAATATATATTGTCATTACATGTTACAATTTATCAGTACGTTCCTTTTTGTATATGTATCAAGTCACGCATACGCATAGAATAAATTGATTTTTGTGTAAAGACTCGTTGTTATGCACTAGAATTATCGCACGATTTCATCGTCTAACAGGTAATCTAATGTTCTGCTATACTGGATCTACCACGACTGGTACGAATTTTTCACAGGAAAATTGTCAAACATGTTATGCATTTTATACCGTTCTCTTGTTCAGATATTTTATTGAATGAATTTGAAAATTTAATTCCTTTAGCTTAAGGCGTTATTTTAACGTAGCAATTTGTTAAAAGATGTTTGCTTATTAATTCAAACAGACGTGGGAAGTCCAATTGTAACTTTTCAATAACGGGTAAAACAATATGTGTATTTCAAATTATTTAAATGTAGAAAATTACTTGTTATATTAGACATCCAATATTAATAAAGCACTTGCAATGTTTCGATCTAATAAGCACAGGTGTGAATATACCTGGTAATGCAAAAACGGCACTCTAATGGTTTAGACCACTTTTTACTTGTGTGTGATTATTTTTCTTCTAATCAATAGGAATATTATTTGACATAACATATATACATGTCAGGTATTCATTTCAAGTACACAGGCGTTCTCTCTCATTTACTAACTGTTAGTTTACAGAGTTATACACATATATGTTACTTTGATTTTGTGCCGAAATACGTATTTCACAAATTAAATCTTGACCTGCAACTTTCAGATACGCTTAAGGTTTTGCAAAAATAAATGTCATCATTTTAAGCATTTCTGTTTCGAGCAATAAACGAGAACATTTAGTTAACTCGTGACCTATTCGATATTGCTAAACAAAATGACAGTAATATTGATCCAAATAAGCTACATATGCTCCGGCATGTGTATAACTAATGCGTTATGTTTAGAAGCACTCTGCTAGTCTTCTCTGTGATGATGCTACAGAATATGTGTATGACGTATTATGTTATGTACCCATAACTTTCTTTTCTTCAGATATCTATGAAAACGAGACCGGAGAGTTTGTGTTATTCTGATATATACAGTTAAGTCAAGTTCATAAAAGTAAGTTTAAAAAACTTGAATACATGTAAGTTATGAATGCTGGCTGAAGTTTATGTAAAATCACAAACGCTAATTCACAAGCACATCTCTACTCTATCACTCAAATACAAGTATAATACATTTTGTTATCCTAAACCGGTATTTAAACTTTAATATGATCACTCATTCTGCCTTATACAGAAAAATGTTGTTAAAGGTGTGACCATAGGATGCCAGCAGAAAGTTGCACCACTATGTCGCAAAACGTAGTTCCCTCCCATAGGAGAGGGTGACTTGCATTTTGGGTGTGGCTATACGTATCACTCTATTGGAAATAATAGTAAATAATTGGAAGAAAATGTGTCATTGTTATCAATCATTTCATCTGAAACTCTTTGCAAGCCCGAACTACTTCCAGCACTGTAAGAGTGCTAAAGAAATCTGTTAACAAATATCACCAGCTAATGGAAAACTCCGGTGGCCTAGTGGTTAGAGCGTCCGCCTCGGATGCGGGAAGTCGTTGGTTCTATCACCGGTTGAGTCATACCAAAGACTTACAAAAATGGTACTAACAGCTGCCTCGCTTGACTCTCTGAATTAAGAGGTTAGTGTTAGGACTGATCGGCCTGGTGTCAGGATAATGTTACTGGGTGGGACATCATGCTACATGTCTGCGGCATGATGCCCCAGTGCTAGACATCACTATAAACTGCTACACTGCAGACATCGTAGCGATATGACTGAAACGTTAAAAATTATAAACACCACACCAGCTGATGGAATTGTTTGATACATTAATTAAAAAACCAGCAACATCAAAAGCAAAGTAATTTGCCGTATGGTGCAAAAAAAGCAACTAATTTACCGTATTGGTCTAGTTTTAAGTGCCATTAACAAGCAGTGGCAGGCTGACTAGAAAAGTGGAATTGTCATCAACTTTTACATTTTGCCCCTAGGTTACAGAATCATTCTCACACAAACTAGATGCAAAATTCACACTTCTGGTTGTTGTATGCTTTCGGTACAGTTTGAACTGGAGTGTAAAATGCCTAATGTAATCTGTAAGACTGGTATAACGGAGGGGTCAATTGGTTCCTGAAGATGGCCTACACCAAATTTGATCGGCAAGATGACCCCTGTCAGTTAGCAATTCATAATACTCACAGATCTTATTTCCAAACAACAGTGAGACAACACGTGTTTATTACTTGCTAGAATGAAAAAGCACGGCTGTCTTAATTGGCTTTTTACCTATAACGCTCATTCTGGTGAAATGTATTATCAGAGACGAACGATGAACTTACTTAATGGATGCGAAGGTTGTACTGCATAATTAGTACGGATAAAATTAACCAATCAGTGCGTTCTCTGAGGGTTCATGTCGTTGTTGTAGTTGTTATCGGCTTAAACGCCATTTTTTTACACATGATAGCTACATATGACGACTAGTATAATGGGTAATAGAATAACATAAGAAGAACCACCTGCCCACGGGAAGCTACTGATATGCTTTCTCATACTCACATTGGCCGAGGCCGAGACTCGAAACCTGAGGTGAAATGTGAATGATTTGTAAAGTAGAAACGACTGAGACAGCTAGGCAGCCCGAGGCCCCTAAGGGTTCATACAAATTATGTCCCTTTCCAAAGGGTTATTTATTTGCAATAAGAATGTATTTAGCTCATGAATGATTCATAACTCTCCATAATAAATTTTAACTGGAATTTGACTCAACAAATGTATTGCTTTTAATACACGACCGTGACACTGACCTCTTAGAATAAAAAGCATTCGGAATAGCTCTATTTTGATTCTATTGCATATTTTCAATTTGAAGCAATCAAAACTAACGTGCCCTTTCTTTTCGCAATAGGTACACGTACGAAGAGATAAGGATCTCTGAGCAGTCTTATCAGAAATTTTATTTCTAAAACTGCGACAGCATGAGATTTCGAAGTGCTTGTATGAGACTGAGATTTTTTTTTAAAACCAAACATCCGCAGAGAGAAAGGCTTGCTGACTCAAGAAACAGTGTGAATCAAGTAATAATCACGCCGCCATCACGTGATACTTGCCAGTCCACCCGTTTATGCTATGATGGTCTCTCATTAATTGCATTAAATGACCACTCCTTGCCTCTCCACACTACATTGTACACTAGACTAAACGACCTGGAACTACATTCATCATTCCACAAATGAAATCAGAAGCGAAAAACGAAGTGTTGTTTCAAAGCTATCCGGCTTAGAACAGGAAGAAGAATTCTAGTTATCTCCCCTTCACCCTTTCCGACACAGAAATTGAATAATAAGGCCGTTAATTTAGACAACCTAATTCGAATTCCAATTGGATCGTCAACCTTTGTGTCAACTGTTGAAGATATACCACTGCACATCGCATTATTCAATGCCCAATCAGTAGGATCAATTTTATCAACGATCAGAAAGAATATCGACATATTTTTCCTGACAGAAACATGGCTACCAGGCGATAAACCCAAGTGCGTGGATCTAACAACCACAGTTACTCCATTAAGTCGTTCCGCGTTTCTTACAGTTCATAATTTTTGTTTTGATATGTCTAAGGTACCAGCTCATAATCTTTAAAGACACATTCCTTATCCACACTGAAATCAGCACTTTGTTGTCCTGACAGTGAAGTGTACACTTCACGAGTTTTGTCATAGATTACACTTTGTGAGAGTACAGTCCAGTGCTCCCTTGGCCATTTCAAATTGTCAGCAAATACACTTTGTAATAGTATAGTCCTGTTCTCCCTTGGCCATTTCAAATTGTCAGCAAATACACTTTGCAATAGTATAGTCCTGTTCTCCCTTGGCCATTTCAAATTGTCAGATGATGAGAATAGTTATCTACATCATTTTCTTTAAAAGAGGATACTAGCCTAGTATTTGTAGTGGCACCAAACCTTAGTATGAAGGGAGGGGTGTAATCCTCCTGTCAGTTCTAATTTTATTAGTCTAAATTGCATTTCTCTTTCTTCTTTTCTATTTCTCTCTACATCTTTATTTACATCACTTCTTTTTCATTTGCATTTGCATATGTCTCTCTTTCATGTTTCTCTAATTGCAAGTGCATTTGTCTTTCTTTCCTCTTTCTGAGGCTCAAGCTTCATGACTATTTCTGTCTGGTGCTTAACTGCAATTCATTTTTCAGGGCCTGAAAGAATCTTACTAATCAAACTCAAAGTACGATTATCTAAAAGATGTTTCTGCAACAAAAACTAGACCAAAATATTTTTTTTGTTTCGTTAAAGACGCTTCGCCTCAGAAAGACCATAATGTCGGGCAAGCTGGAGCAATGCATCCTTTTTCATGGACCCTAACCCTACATGGGTAGGATTTAAAATAAGGTCAAAAATAAGTAACAGAAAATAGAGAAAATAATAAATTTTGTAAAATTACACAAATAATTTATTTCCCAAGAATAACTAGTGAATATTTAGAAAGAAATGTCAGTATTGTGAATTAAATTCCGAAATAGTTCATAAGTTCTATCACAAGCCCAAAATATATTATATTCCAAATGAATTTCATTGGTGTTCCACATAAGTCCCATTATTGAATATGTCGATTCAACTGCAGGGCTGAATGTGCTAATTGCCTGTAATGTGCTATTGTGTTAACAGTCTTTTGATGTATCATAATTCAAACTGTCCATTTCTGATTTCGTTATGATACTAACTAATTTGTTTAGACCAAAAATATTCTTGAGCACGTGTAATTTCAATTAATAATAACTTGAATAAATAAATAAATCAAAATACAATTAAAAACTGAACACAACATTAAGACTGATTGTGCTTCGGATGTTGAGGAAAAAATGAATAATTCTTAGTTAAGCAAGATTCTATACCCTTTTTCTCTACTTGACAGAGGTCGCAATAACCATTTTCTGGACATGGTCTGTCAGCATAATTGGAAATTACCTTTCTGGAAGTTTCTAAGGTCAGAATTAAGAATGCATCTTTAACTCAAATTAGTAAACATGTAAACATGAATATTTAATCAACATCCTCATGGCATCCTCCCTTAGATCTTACAGCTGATTCCAGATACTTGAAGGTCTCTACTTCCTTCAGTACATTTTCTAAATTGTCTGATCAAAGTTGTCAACCATTAACACTTTCTCCATTCCAGTTTTCATTGTAGGCACAGAAACCTTCCGTTACGTACGAGTACAAGTCTGCAGTTTAGAACGAATAAACAATACATGCAAGAACACAGGAAATAAGAAAAAAAAGAAGGTAATAAAAGCATGTGTGGTGTACAATTTACAGCATAGTTCGTGACAAATGTATGGTACAATTTAAAACAGTAGTAAACTCAAACACCATGAAGCTTAAAAAATCACGATCATTTAAACCACTGATGATATTCACCATGTTAATCAAAGCGTCTAGTAACATTGATTTGTAATCACATACTCGTTAATTAAGAACCGTAAAGCAAGAAGCATCTGCTTATCGTCGCTGTGTTTCGAATGAACATTGTGCATCATTTAATGCATTTTGTTATTGCAAACACATGATCATTGTGCAAACAAATGCACATCTAATGCATTGTGCAGTTCATATACATGTAATACATTTGTTAGAACAAACAGCAATTTTCATTGTTATTTTCAGTTGTCCAATCGCGCACCACTGCACCACCAGCATTTCTAGAACACTTTTAGATCATGTTTAAAAGTTCACAGCCCTTTTGCAAATGGAAATTAAAATTCACTGATGGTTTATCTTTACTATTATAACTAAGAAATGCGTTTGTTTTGTCTAATTTAAGACATGAAAAACGCTTAGCAGTAGATATGTTTGACTAGCACCTCGATGCTGAGAACCACATAATTTTCAATTTAAAAAAAAATAAGTTTAATTTTTTTACACAATTTATCATTTATATTTCTTCAGTAAGGTACGTATACAATTTCACTGTAATTAATGGGACTAATCCCATTATTACACAGAAGGCTTGACAGTTTGACGTCCTCCGTCAAACCTCATGTTATATGTATATTCTCTTCATTTACAATCTCACTCTAAGGCCCGAAAACTTAGCAAACACTGCAGATCTGTGTGTGTGTGTGTGTGTGTGTGTGTGTGTGTGTGTGTGTGTGTGTGTGTGTGTGTGTGTTGGCCGACAAGGTTAAAGGCTAAATTATATGCAATTTTATGTTCCTGCAGTTTTTCTTGTAAGAGTTGACGCATGTAACACGTTGAAGAACAAAATCTTCGACAAGGTAAACAAAATATATAGCTGTGTATAATATACACATACATCTGAAAAAGTTTATTCCACATAGCCATTGACCTCAATCAAATCGTGGTCGAATTTTAATAGAGCACATACGGCAAAATCAGATCAAGAGTACACTATCAAGAGTATACATCGTAGACAGATAATTGCACGGAGGCAGAATATGAACAAGTATGGAAAGTTTCTCCAGAATGCGTCCCACTGGGAAGTAATACCCCATGGTGATCAATACAGACTCGAGGTATAAATAGCGTTTGTTGATGACATTT